AGCGAATTGCTTCACAGTGGCTCCCATCTGGTCCCCTACTGGAGCCCAGAGGAAAGAATGGGAAGGGAAAAGAGGAGCCACATCTTAGGATCAGTGCTCCTCGAACCTCCCCTCCAACCCTGCACCTCCCTACTGCACAGGTTCTCAGCAGAATCAATAAAATGGGGCTGAGAGACCCTGAGACAGGAGCAACTCCTACTTAGCAAACACTGAGGCTTTTCACTTTTCCACCTTGGGGTCCGGCCCTAGTTACCCCCTTCCCTCTGGCCTCATGTCTCCACGAGAACCCATCAGTTGGTTTGTCTCATAGAACTGCACTCAGTCTTCCCCTTGGAACAGCAGGTGCGCTTAGGGGCAGGGTGAGAGTAAGGAAAGATTGAAGAGACCAGGAGCCCCCCTGCCCCACACCGGCCTGTTGCCCTCTGAGGTTCACCTGGAACAGTGGTCCAGAGCAAAAAGCCCTACACCACCTCCAGGGACTCAGCTTCAGCCTGTGCATCGCTGATAGAGCCTTCGGGGCTGGAGCTGTCCGTGTCAGCAGACGTGCTACTGTGCTCGTCCGAAAGTGCTGTGTAGCTACTTCACACGCGTTCTGGGGAGCCGCTGTAAACGGCAAGCCCAGTGGACAACCAAACAACCAGAGAACCAACAGCTGCACCAGGACCTAAACGTCAGGACAGTGAGAATGTTCTACTAAAGAAGCTTGAATGTCAAAGTGGGCTTGAAAAGGTTAAGACGATGCGCCAGATGGCCGCTGGCACCACCACCAGTGGTGGAGCAGGGAACCCGTGGGAAACATCCTGGGGAGGCACGGTATGGCCACGGGATTAGGCCACGGAGAGAAAGCTGTAGGACAGGAGGCAGGAAATGGCAAGAGAAAAGAAAACATCCTACTCACTGGCTCCTTTTTGCCCTTTAACTTTCCCTGATCCACAGTGCTGTCTTCCCTGAACTATCCTTCAGAGAGAAATCACATGGGGGCAGGGACACTAGAGTTAGCAAGGTACTCACGTGGTAATTATCTACGCAGTCCTCACCAGACCCAGCGGACATAGCCACCGACAGCTCACGCATAAGGACACTGAGTTCAGAAACATCACGAAGAGAGCTGGGTATGGACTGTGAGTGAGAAAGACCTCGGGGACGTGTAACAATGCAGTTTCCCCAGTCCCAGTCCCTACCAGAGACAGTGACTCAGTGGCCTATGCTAGGGCAGAAGGCTGTGTACTTCTATCAAGAACAAAACTCCCTATCATGTCACTGCAAAGGGAGTCTCTGGGGGCCAGCAGGTGGTGTAGTAGTCAAGGCACTGGACTCCCACATGGTGGACCACAGCTTGAGTCCTGGACCCGCAGCTTGGGTGCATGTGCATGTGCACCCAAAATCCCAAGAGGAGAGGGAGGATGAGGGATTGCGGTGTGGCCATCCTCCCACCGCCCAGGGGGGTGATTTCTCATTTTCTGTCTCTGTCTCTCCAGCAAGCACATGTACCCTATAGCAAAAATCTTTCAAAAAAAGAAAAAAAAAGAATAAAAGGGAGTCTCTTGGACACTGCCTAAGAAACTCTGCCTGGAGGGTTTTCCCAGTCACCCCACTGGACTTGAACCCAGACTTCAACTACAAATCCCACGCTCTTTAATCCTCACAACATAGGACAAATTACATAGATATCTTTTTTTTTTTTTTTGGAGAGGTTTTTGCTATAGGGCGTGTGTGCTCGCCATAAAGAGAGAGACAGAGAAATAGAAAGCAAGAACTCACCCCCCAGGGGGGATGGCCACGCTGCAATCCCTTCTCCTCCATTCTCCTCTCAGGATCTTGGGCATGCACGCATGTGCGCCTGGCGCAAGTTTAAGCCACTGGGTCCGGGACTCAAACTGCAGTTGACTACATGGGAGTTCAGTGCCATAGCTATTATGCTAACTGCTGGTCCCACATAGATATCTTTAGGTGTGTTTATGGTTGGAGGTGTGTGGGAGGTAGTAGCCTGAACTACTGATCCTTTGTGTGAACTACACTGGATAGCTCAAACTTTCTGGCTTGCAATCCTCTGTAAGAAATACATTTGATATTTTCACCAGTATCCACTGCACTATTACTGAAACATGAGCTTCACGCTGGCATT